GAAACATGGAACCTGCAGGGATCAGACTGGTTACTGCAGTTTACAGTTTACAGCCGTTAACAATCGCACTGAAACTGAATATAAAATCTGCTTCATCCAGCTTACATTTACATATTTCATTTCATTTCAAGAACAAATTTAATAGTTAAACTTTTAGTCAGCTGCTCTTTATTAATGATCATTAAAAATGATTCATAATTATTACTATCGACATTTTATTGTGATGTGTTTCTTGTTTTTTATTTACCTGTGTGCCACTGATAGATTTAGTAATTATAGAAATAATGCTTCAAATATAATTTACTCGTCTGTTTTTCCTCTTTTTGTGGAACGAGGAGAGTTTGAGTTTATTTTATTGTAATATAAGTATTATTATTTATATTCTTTATCATGTGTAACAAACAGGGATCAATAAAGTATTTCTGATTCTGATTTATGAACCGAACAAAGAGTGCAGAATGAGACGGGATGAGAACCTGCAGGCAGCAGACTGAGGCGGTTCAGCACTCGGTGGACGTTCCTCCTGCAGGAGGACGAGGAGTCATCCAACAGCTGAGAGAGAGGAGGGAGGAGGGAGGAGGAGAGCAGGGCCTGTCTGCAGGGGGAGAGCAGAGAAACAACAACCTGGAAGTCTCTGCTGTGTTATACCGCCTCCTGCTGGTCACAGCAGAGAATACAAACAGCTCATCAGGAAACAATTAATGATCAATCTGCTGTCTGTCTGTCTGTCTGTCTGTCTGCCTGCCTGTCTGTCTGTCATCCTCCTGTCTGTCTGCCTGTCTCCTGTCTACTGTCTGTCTGTCTACTGTCTCCTGTCTGCCTGTCTCCTGTCTGTCTACTGTCTCCTGTCTGTCTGCCTCCTGTCTGTCTCCTGTCTGTCTGTCTCCTGTCTGTCTGCCTCCTGTCTGTCTGTACCTGCCGATGCTGTGAGCAGTCAGTATGTGAAGCAGTTTGCAGGTTTTCTTTCTGACTGTTGAATCGTCGTCTTTCAACAAAACCTTCAACTGCTCCAGAAAACCTGAAGAAAGAACAAAGAGATTAATAATAATATATAGAATCAATGTTTACTACAAATATGGATTAGAATTATAGAATACATCAGTTCTTATTTAAAAACACTCGAATACACTCTGATCAATACTTATTGATTATTGATATTTCTCTTTTTATTTACACATTTGCTGTTGAAGTAACAGAAAGTAAAGTTACTTTAATATTGTGATACTTGGATTAGGATACTGACTACATGTTTTTAACAGGTAATCAGATTACTTTTTAATAGTAACCCTGTGATTATTTTGTATAAACTGTTAAACTTGTGATTTCTAACATTATATTTTATAACTGTGTGTGTGTGTGTGTGTGTGTGTGTGTGTGTGTGTGTGTGTGTGTGTGTGTGTGCAGTCCCTTATATTTTAAGTCTATTTAAGTGGAATAAAATGTAAATGTTGGATGTGTGAATGGAGATGTGAACTTTTAGAGTTATTGGTGTAACGTTAGAACCGGATCTGTCGGTGAGAGCAGCAAATCAACTGGCCAATGAATTCAAAGGCCTTCTAGTTTCTTTTGATCTCATTCAATCTGTTAATGCACCAACACATGAGCATGGGCACACTCTTGACCTTGTCATTTCTCATGGGCTTTCAGTTTCCCTCAGAGAAATAATCGACACTGCTATCTCGGATCACCTCCCTGTTGTTTTCGACTTTGCTGCCCCCCCACCTGCCAATAAGCCAGTTTCCCCAGCTCGCAGACGCCGAATCTTTACTCCATCAACGGCTGAGGAGTTTGCTGCTGCCTTCAGAAACTCTCAGCTGCTTGATGACTGTGGGCTGGTTCCTCCCCTTTGTCCAGACAGCCTACTCTCCACTTTCTATTCAACATGTTCTGCGATTCTTGACTCTGTTGCCCCTTTTCAGCATAAAACTACCAAAACCAAGTCAGACCCCTGGTTAAATGATCACACCCGTCTGCTCAGACAACAATGCAGACAGGCTGAACGGCGGTGGAAAAAGGATAAACTACATGTATCTCTGGGCTGGTTAAGGGACAGTTTGGCTGCCTATCAGAGAGCTCTAAAGGAAGCCAAGTCAAAATATTTGTCTTCCATTATAGCTAACAGCTCTCATCATCCAAGACTGCTATTTAATACTATTGATTCTGTCGTTAATCCACGCCCTACTGTCCTGTCTGATGCATCCACTGCAACCTGTGAAGAGTTTGTGTTTTTTTTCACTGATAAAGTGGCATCTGTAAGGCAGAATATCTGTATTATGAATATGTCTCTTGATGATGTCTGTGCTCCTCCGGCACAGACTGCTGTCTTCGAGCGGTTTGAGACCATTTCTCTGTCTTCTTTTACTAAGGTGGTTAGTGGCATGAAACCCACAAACTGTCCCTTAGATATTATTCCAGCCAAGTTTTTGAAGGAGGTTCTGAGTTCTGTTGGGTCAAGTCTGCTTGTTTTTATAAACACTTGTCTTAGCTCAGGGTCTGTTCCAGCTGCCTTCAAACACGCTATGGTTAGGCCCCTCCTAAAAAAACGCATCTTGACCCCTCTGTGCTCTCCAATTTTAGACCTGTCTCCCACTTGCCTTTTCTTTCCAAGGTTTTAGAAAAAGTTGTTTTTATTCAATTACAGACATTTTTGGAGATCAATTCTATTCTTGATAAATTTCAGTCTGGTTTTAGATCCCGACATAGCACCGAGTCAGCACTGTTAAAGGTGCACAATGATATTGCCTTGTCTGTGGATGCTGGGAATCCTGCTGTGCTGGTGCTGCTGGACCTCACAGCACACACACCTTGATACAGTCGACCATGCAGTCCTTGTATCTCGCTTAGAGCAGCACGTTGGCATCCGTGGCACCGCTCTCCAGTGGTTTAGGTCATACCTGGCAAACAGGAGTTTCTCTGTCTCAATTGGTGACCACTGCTCCTCAAATGCATCGCTGCCCTGTGGGGTGCCACAGGGATCTATTCTCGGCCCTATTCTGTTTTCGTTGTATATGCTACCTCTGGGATCAATTATAAAAAAACACAACCTGTCTTTTTCACTTTTATGCCGATGATTTGCAGATATATTTGCCCATGACACCAAACGAAAACACTGCACTTACTAAACTGCTGGACTGCATCACAGATATAAAACAGTGGCTGTCACAGAACTTTTTGCACTTAAATGACAGCAAAACTGAATGCATTTTGTTTGGTTCACCAGCTAAGTCGAATGCTCTCACCACAAATTCTGGCACTCTGGCCCCTCTTTTAAATCACATGTCAAAAATCTTGGGGTAACATTTGATACTGGGCTCAAATTTGACAAACAGATTAGCTCGGTTGTCAGTACGAGCTTTTTCAGCTCCGTCTTTTGGCCAAAGTGAAGTCTTTTCTCAGTCGGCAGGATCTTGAGAAGGCAATCCATGCTTTTATCAGCTCAAGACTGGACTACTGTAATGCCCTTTACGTCGGCCTCAGTCAGTCCTCAATTTCTCGTCTCCAACTTGTGCAGAACGCTGCTGCCCGATTTTTAACTAGCACGTCCAGACGTGAACATATTACTCCTGTGCTGTCGTCACTCCACTGGCTTCCAGTCCGTTTTAGAATTGATTTTAAACTTTTGTTGTTTGTTTTTAACACCATTAACGGCTCGGCCCCTCTTACCTGTCAGAGATTTTAACTTTTCGCAATTGTGGCAGAGCCTTGCGCTCTTCGGGTCAGCTTCTGTTAGAAGTCCCTAGGTCCAGACTTAAACAGTGGGGCGATCGTTCTTTTGCCGTCGCTGCTCCTAGACTGTGGAACAAACTGCCCCCGGACATTCGTACCACTACTGATCTCGGCCTTTTTAAATCGAAGCTTAAGACCCACTTTTTTAGATTAGCTTTTAATTCTGAATAGGACAGTACTGTCTCTTAGGTGTACTCTTTTTATCTGCTCCTTTCTGTGCATTTCTGGAAGGCTTTTAATACCCTGCAGTGCTGCAGCACTTTAATTGTATTTGTATGTTATATATGTGTTATGTACTGTTTCATGGCTCTGTTGTAAAGCACTTTGGGTACCTTTCGGCTATTGTAAAGGGCTATACAAATAAACTTGATTTGATTTGATTTGAGAGTTACCGCCGTTAACGGTCTGGTAGATCCGCTCCGGGTCGTGCATCAGGTCGCACAGAGAGTTGAGAGCCCGCTGTCTGCGCTCCTCCTCCGGCTGCTGCAGCTCCTCGAACAGCTGCGGAACCGCCCGCCGGCCGAAGGCCACCGGAGCCCGGCTTGGGTCCATCACACCGCCGCCGGCCATCCGGTACTTCATCAATATAAACAGCTTTCTTAATCACGAACTTCTACCGGGCCGGTCCGATCCGTTAACAGCTGCAACAACAACAACAAGGTTGCCTAGTAACCGCAGTCGGGACGCCACTTCCGGGTTCTAACCTACAGAATCACCTGTGTTTGGGAAGTTCTTCCGGTGAGTTCAGAGAGGTATTGCACAAAACCAGGATAAGGGATTAAGCCGGGATATGTTGGTTATCCTGGCTCGGTTGCATGAAAGCAGGTTAAACTTATCCCGGCTAAGTTACTATGGTGATTTATTCTCTGCAGTTAACCTGCTCCAGACCAGGCTAACAGCCAGACTAACAGCCAGACTAACAGCCAGGCTAACATTGATCCAGGTGATTCACCTGTATTTCCACCGTCTGTCCTGTGAGGAATTAATGTGTTTTACAGCATGTCCATGGTCTTTCTAAGTATGTTGCATCATTTTAATTATCCTGCATTAAATATTACATATATATTGTCATTTCTTATTTCATTTAAATCTGTTGGCTGTTTGTAATTGCAACAGTCTTTTTATGTTGATTCAAGTGGTAGTATTATTACTCAGGACAAGTGTTATACTGCTATGCTAATGAAGACTGCTTGTCAAACTGCATAAATATGTGTTTATTGCATTAATTGAGCTGATGAAGTTGCAAAGGTGTTTTCAATGAAATCTGTGACAAGGGCAAAATAGTATATATATTATGACATGCTGTTTAAGAGATTAATCTTTGAATATATAAAATTAATCTTTGAATATATAGAATGAATCTAAACGGCATGCCATAAAATATATATATATATATATATATATATGTATATTGTCTGTGTTGTCTGTGTGTTCTGGGCTCAACCGAGAGCTCCTCATATGTTTTCAGTCAGTGTTTAATCTGCACAATCTCTCTGGAATGAGGAGATTTACTGACACACTGGGAATAAAGCTTCTAGAAACTTTTAGGCTGAAGGGACGAGACGCCATTTTAGAGACTATGAGAGGAAGAGGAAGTAGAGTTGCTCGGATATATTTTCATTTAGCTGTAATAATAATAATAACGTTAATAATAAAAACTATATGATTGTCCAGTTACTCTCACTCCGTGTACTCTCCACTTTTTTTTTCTGTGGAGTTGATGTCATTTGTTGATTTGGTGGAGTATTTACTTGTCTGTGTTTTGAAGATGAAGATTTTTCACTGTAATAAGCAGATTATTACAGATTACACAGAAAGAATGAATGAATATCTACATTTTCTGTCTCCTTACAGATCCACATGAGCAACCTGTGAAGCGCAGCAGCAGCTATGAATTCCTGCCTCCTTTCAGTAAGTTAAAGTGAACTGAGTCAGAAATATTCTCGTCTATATTAACATCTGGAATTACAGAGCTTTGTAGGTGGTGGGTACAAACTCACATTTTATTTCATTTTATTTTATATTTATAAATTCCACCTTAAAGAAGCTGTGCCTTCCTCACTGGATCCAGTTTTACTGTGTTCAACATGGATCCAGTCGACACTTACTGTGTTTTCTAATTCACTGTTTTCTTTTCAGTGTCTGAGCTGAGGGTTGTTCTGCTGGGGAACAGCTGGTCTGAGAGGAGTTCAGTGGGGAACTTCATACTGGGAGAGACTAAGTTCAACACTGAGGAAGAACCAGACTGCTTCCTGAGAGAAAGAGTGCAGTTGAAGGGGAAAGAAGTAGTTCTCATCAACACTCCAGATCTGCTGCATCCCCAGACCATCCGACGGAGCAGACAGGCAGAATTAATCTCTGATCCTGGACCTCATGTGTTCCTGCTGGTTCTACAGCCTGAAGACTTCACTGAGGAACACAAACTGAAGCTCTGCAGATTCCTTCAGCTCTTCAATGATCGATCATTTCATCATTCTCTGGTTCTGATATCAACACCCAGAAAGGAGAGTCCAGGTTTCATGGAAAAATACCTGGAACATCCTCCCTTAAAAGACATGATCAAAGAGTGTCAGTACAGGTTTCTGTGGCAGAAGAATCTGGAACTTCCAGAGCTGTTAACACGCTTGGGTCAAATTGTGAAAGAGAACAATGGAGAGCATCTGAGCTCAGATCGACCAATAGAGGATTTACTCCACGTGTTGTCAACCTGAATTGATCTTTCAGTCTACTATTTTCTACTTTAAGAAGGTAAAGCCACTGTCCTGTTGTGAGTTTCTGAGTTTAGCTCAGGAGACTAATTGCATTTGATGACATCACCTTCCTGCAGGAGCCTAATTACAGTGGTGGAGGAAGTACTCATACATATTCAATGTATTTAATGAATTAAAGTAAGGTAGTCGTATTATAATATATTATTGGAATATCATATCAAAAGCAATATTTCCCTCCGAGATGGAGAAGAAGTGTCTGATTAAAGTGATTAAAGTGTCTTTATGCAAATTATTGTTAGTTACACGTAACATGTGCATTATCTCACTTAACAAACAGTTCTGTGTTACTGTCTGACCACAGACCTGTTACTGTTAGTTACAGACACTGTGTATGTACTGACTGAGGTGTTGAGGTGTTCATTGTATATACGACTGTATGGTATTGTATTTCCCCTTTATCTTTAGAACCACACACAGGCATGTGTACATAATGCTGGTATTTATACCCACTGACTGATGATTAAAGATTTTGGATTGAACTCTCTGAGCTCTTCTCTTTCATCTGTCCATAGAGGTCTTATCAGCCAGCAGCCCAAAGAGTTTCACTGTCAGCATCAACATCTTCATTGTGAAACTTTTCTCGTTTCTTCTTTCATTTCTTTTATTTAATGTAAGGGACATACACAAACAGTTTGGGAATGTGTAAACAAATATGAGAGAAATCAATTTACAATGGTGGAAATGAAACTTTAGCCCATTTGAATAGCAACAGACAAAACAGAGATAAAGAAAAATAAAAGTAAGAGACAATAAAACAGCAAGTACTTGGATATAGATGGAAACATTCTTTCTGCCTTTTTTATTCATATTTATTTTACAAAGTAACTAAAGTACATTTACTCAAGTACTGTACTTTTTAGAGGTATTTTTATATTCTGCTACTTTTCAGACGCAAATATTGTTAACATTTATAATATGTGTATAAAGAGTAGTGAAACTGTCATACATGGTTATTATTAAGTGTTATTTAATTACTGGTGAGTTTGATCGTGTGGAAAGAAAGTGTTGTTTAAAAGTAGAACTTAAATCAGATATGTGATGGCAGTAAACAATGCAATTATTAGGATTATTAATGTCCATATTAAGTGTCTTTGCCCCAATACTTTAATATTGATAATCAATCACACACCTTATTTAGAATCAGCATCAGTTTTATTACCAAGTCTTCACATTAGAGCAGTTTGCTTTGGTACATTGGTGCAAAAGAATCACAGTCAAACACAGAAAGATATCAATAAAGATAAAAAGATGAAAAATAGAGACAATAAAAGGAGCTGGTCCTGGTTCAAACATATTCAGCTGATATTCAGTTATAGTTGAAGGTGAGATCAGCTGATGGTTTATTTGAGAAGAGGTCTCACTCTGTTGGAGTTGTTGAACTGCAGAATCACTCTGGTTGTACAGCGGTGTCACAGAGTGGAGCTTCTTCCCTCACAGATGATCTTTGTTCGAGGTTCAGACACACAAACCTACAACAGACAAGTTTACTGTGGTTGTGTCAGTTTCTCACAGGTTGAACATGAATTATTAACAGCTCATATGAGACTGCTGGAAACTGTCCAACATGTCTGCAGCTTTCTGTCTCCACCACGTTTATCTGGAGCCTCCAGATACTGACCCTGGCCCTGTATATGTGTACCTCATTCCTGAGCGAGCAACAGGAAATTTTTTTAAGACAAATTATTTGCAAGCAAAAACGTATAATTCATTCAAACAAAAATCTATTCTGTCTCCATAAATGCATTAGCATGTTTGCTATTATCCCTACTAGTGCAATAATAACACCTCGGTACCACCCTGGTCTGAGCGGCACCATGAATCCGGACTCTCTCTGGACAGACCCCCTATAAATCCCCCGCCGTGCCTGCTGTGTTACTCCGGTAGCACATATACTAAAATTGAAACGATACAGAGAAGATTAGCGCAAGGATGACACGCAAATTCGTGAAGCGTTCCTCATTTCATTTGTTTGGTCAGAGTTCTGTCCTCTGGCTTGATGATTTCTAATGATTATGGATCAGAACAATAAGATTATTGATCCCTCACTGGGAAATGTACTCGCTGCAGCAGCTCCAGATACAACACAGCAGTTTCTTTATTTCACCCTGTGGGACAAATTAAAATTTGACACAGCAGCACGGGGAAAATGTGGTGCAAAATGTAAAAAATTATAAATTACAATAAAGAATACCAAGTAAAAATATTATCAAAATATATAAAGACTATATATCTATTATAATATTTACAGTATATGCAGTATGCAAGTAAGAGATGTGGTGTGCAAAAATATTTTAAACAGTGTTAACGAAACTGTACATGTTATTTGTAATGTGCAAATTATTAGAGTTTGTGCAAGAGCAGAAAAATTTAATTAAAACCGCATAATCAGCAGAGGTTGGAGATACTGGGTGCTGTGGTTGAGGAGGTTGGAGATACTGGGTGCTGTGGTTGAGGAGGTTGGAGATACTGGGTGCTGTGGTTGAGGAGGTTGGAGGTACTGGGTGCTGTGGTTGAGGAGGTTGGAGATACTGGGTGCTGTGGTTGAGGAGGTTGGAGATACTGGGTGCTGTGGTTGAGGAGGTTGGAGGTACTGGGTGCTGTTGTTACCGGCACCAGACCTAGGGGAAATCTGGACCAGCAGCAAGGGTTACACAGGCTAGGGAGCACTGTGTAGCCAATACATAAACTGTGGATTGACAGAGAGATGACGAAAGTTAGCGTCTTGCTCATGCCAGAGCTTGTTTATTTCTGACACATTTACAAACAATTACCAGTCACATTTCTAACTTTCTGATTTAAGTGCATATCAACATCTTACCAAAATATTCCACAACAAAACAACAATGCTGTAACTTAATTACAATAATTAATATAAAACCCTTTTTGTCTAAATTCAAACAAGTTTACATGAATTCAAAATGAAGGTAACACATTAAAAATAACAAAATTGGCTTAACTTAGAATACTTATATGTATCACAATAATAACTTAAAAGACACAATTACTCTATAACCTACATTCACTCATACCTTAACATATACAATCCTGCTAACAAGCATTCAACACTAAGGTAACAGACACAAAGCCTTTCCCAACATTGTTATACTCTTTTTCCCGCGCTTGCACTTCACAGCAGAGACTAACAATATGGCGCGGCCACAGCGCGTTAACAAGTGACTTGGAAAGTAACTCCAACTTTAACATGAAATCTTTCTCATCACAGTTTACACACTGCGGCTGACTAATACTCTAAACAACATTTAAAACATCTTTCCTCTTGTTACAGTATGCTAATGTCAGTAAATTTACACTGTGTAAAACTAGTTCATAACCGAACTACAAAGCATGACGACGCTCGTCTGAACAATCATCTACAAAACGAAACTAATTACACTTAACCCACTTCTCAAATCATGTTACACATTACCAAACAATTTATGATGCATTCACATATTATACCGATTCACAATTAAGATAGAAAAATAGTTTTTCAGTAACTGTGGATTGACAGAGAGATGACGAAAGTTAGCGTCTTGCTCATGCCAGAGCTTGTTTATTTCTGAGCTGCGCATGTGCAGAGCTTGTAGCTACAGTCTCCCTAATGGATCCACAGCAGCACTAGAGCACCACCTGCTGGCGTAATACTGTACTACCTTCAGTGTTAGAATGACTCAATTATTACAAAAATAGAGGGGGTGTCTGCTAAACACAACTTAACATATGGTGTTTTCCAACCCATTACACTGTAGTTGAGGAGGTTGGAGGTACTGGGTGCTGTGGTTGTGGAGGTTGGAGGTACTGGGTGCTGTGGTTGAGGAGGTTGGAGGTACTGGGTGCTGTGGTTGAGGAGGTTGGTGGTACTGGGTGCTGTGGTTGAGGAGGTTGATGGTACTGGGTGCTGTGGTTGAGGAGGTTGATGGTACTGGGTGCAGTGGTTGAGGAGGTTGATGGTACTGGGTGCTGTGGTTGAGGAGGTTGATGGTACTGGGTGCAGTGGTTGAGGAGGTTGGAGGTACTGGGTGCTGTGGTTGTGGAGGTTGGAGATACTGGGTGCTGTGGTTGAGGAGGTTGGTGGTACTGGGTGCTGTGGTTGAGGAGGTTGATGGTACTGGATGCAGTGGTTGAGGAGGTTGGAGATACTGGGTGCTGTGTTTGAGGAGGTTGGAGGTACTGGGTGCTGTGGTTGTGGAGGTTGGAGGTACTGGGTGCTGTGGTTGAGGAGGTTGGAGGTACTGGGTGCTGTGGTTGAGGAGGTTGGAGGTACTGGGTGCTGTGGTTGAGGAGGTTGGAGGTACTGGGTGCTGTGGTTGAGGAGGTTGGAGGTACTGGGTGCTGTGGTTGTGGAGTCTGATGGCTGACGAGCCTCCGAACCGCTTTGAGTCTCGGGGCTGGATCAGTCTGTGGCTTAAAGTTCCAATCTGTAATATAAAATTATCATAAGTATGTGGATGACTGTATACTTAAATAACAACATTTTGACCTTTAATAAAAAAGCCCCAAATAATTTAGTGAGTTCAGTGTTGGGTCTTTTGTTTTTGATTGATAACTTAAAGGAGCAATATGTAAGATTTACAGCAGGTGTTTAAAATGGGTACTGCAGTTCAAATTCAAAACATTGTAGTAAGGTGTATCCCCTGATAATAATAAGATCATATCATAATTGTTAGTATTATATGTGTCATTTTGACAGTACGGAACCTATGGCTTGTATCTACAGCATTAAGTGCGGCCATGTAACTAAAGAATTGATTTGTATGGGTTTTCCTTACAAGGACAAGAAGGACATAAAAGACAAAAACACAAATTGACACAAATTCCTCATTTAAATCACTTTCACTACAAATGTGTTACTGCTGGATTTAAAGAGTAAAATACAATGTTGACTTCCTCCTGTGCATCTATACAGAAAACAACACCCAAAATGATACATAATACAGTTTAAAATGTGAATATCTACAGAAGTGAGATTTGGATCTCACAGGTCATTTCTGGTAAAGTTCCAAATAATTATCTTTCCTCTGACCAATTGCACTGTTGGATTTGTGTCATTCCCGCGCAAAGCACTAGAGTAATGATGTGTTCCCACAGTGGACGAAGCCAGTGGTATGAACCCAAAATAAACAGATCTTGCTGTGATTTAATTACAATAAACTGATCAAAATGATGCAGAAATAACTACATCACGATGGTGATTTTAGCCATAAAGGCCTCCATAAAATAAAACATATGACTTCAATCACCCTTTCTCAGCTACAGACACACGTACCTGTATGTAACACAGACTGTATGTAAAGAAACTGAACAGCTGCCTTTGTAATCAGGTGATGGTTCTTATAATCGGGCCCCAACTATCTTGGAGTTATTGTGGCCTTACTGACACCAAATCGCCCTGCTCTGGTTCTTCAGATTTCTCTGTGCCCTTTCACCTCGAGCTGCTGTACGAAGTCTGTCCCATAAAACAATTCAGTTGTTAAGATATAAAGTTCTGTATCATGATTCCCAGAGAGCTTCAGGTGATATTAAACATTTACTGGTATCATATTTGTCACCCCCGCTCAGAAAGGAAAGGTTGTTTCAGGACAGTCTGACTTCAGTTTGGATTTTCACCGACGTGCTCGGCAGCAGAGAGGATCTCACCTGGTGAGTAGACGCCACTGAAATCAAGACAAACAAATGTGCTTCATTGTAAGAAAGACAACATTCTCACATCGATGAGTTAGAACTGATCTTTACCAATCCTCAGGTGTTTACTGACTATTCAGGACTCATCTGGACCAGAATCACTGCTCGTATCCAACAAAGTGCTGAAAATAATTTATTCTGTCTCACATTATAGAGTCAAAACTCCATGATGGGAGACTGACAATCTAAGACAACAGCAGCAGACATCACAGGCAAGTAATGACATGGAAATTGTTGTTTGTAATAAAATGTTTTAACATTTACATTAATTCTAAAAAAATAAGCTCAATGAATACATTTTGCCACCATTTTATATAAAGTTTGCTGATACTGACAAATGCATTGGTGCCTTTATTAGTTGATAGATGTACAGATTCGACTCCAGAGTCTTGAGTTCAGATCAAAGGTGAACAAGGAAGTTAAATAATCTGATATATAATATTACAGCAACTATAAAAGAAAGATTACAGTTGAAGTTTTACAACCATTGATAACACATTAACATTTACCATCACTATTGTTACTGCTCTGAATGAGAATACAAGTTGCCATCGAGTTGTTCTTGTCTGAGATCATTATAATGTTTGTGAGTGCATTCAAATTAAAATCAGTCCCTCTCTACTAATTATTGTTATTTATATATATTCAGATTGTAGCTTCAGGTTTTGAACATTATCTCTCTTGAGTGAGTAGACGCCACTGAAATCTAAATTCAAACAAAGAAACGAAGACAAACAAATGTGCTTCATTGTAAGAAAGACAACATTCTCACATCGATGAGTTAGAACTGATCTTTACTAATCCTCAGATCTTTACTGACTACTCAGTATAATAAAATATTAGTGTAATACACTCCTGAACAAAACTTTAGACCGGGGGAAAAATTGCAAGTATTCACATTTTGGATTGGTGGAATGTAACAAGATTGTAAGTAGAGCTTCAAAATGCAAAAAGAAGAAACAGCAGCAAGAGACAAAAAAAATAGAGTAGGCAATTTATTGAAAACTGCATTTAAACTCAAACAGGCTGTTCATCAGCTGTTCAAAAGTTTAGGATCATAGCCTTAAAAAGTCCAAATCTGTGCAGAAATCTGGCTTTCATGTTATTTTCTATCAGGCATTCACACTGCCATGACCCAAAAAAGCTTTCTGTCTTTGAACGTGGCAGGATTGTTGAGCTGCACAATAAAGGCCTCTCGCAACGCTCCATCGCTGCCGAGGTTGGACGCATTTATTTGCAGCCTACAGTGCGCACTTTCACTGTTGGGCCGTGCAGTGATATTCTTTGTCCTGCACCTGAACATTTTTGCCTGGATGTGCACACACTTGGTCCCTCTCCTGAGGTTTACTAATGTAACAGGAGGCAGCATCAGATTATATAAGACAAGTTAACAAACAAGATCATTGAACATTTTATGATCTTCTCTCTTTAGATTTGTAAAGCCAGCAGTTGGTCTCCAGTCAGTCCCTGAAGTTTCCAACAGAGAGACATTATGGAGGGTTCATCCTCCACTCCATCAGGTAAGAGTCTGTATAACACTGTCTGCTCTCACTGTCCTCATATTACACACATCATAAAAGAACTCTGTCTTCTTCCTGTGTTTGTGACAAACTGCTGAGCAATGGTTGTGTATGAAGCACAGCAGTTTCCACCACTCTTGATAATGTATCATTAGAGCTCATCAGAGTGAAGGTGGGTCAGAATCTGGACCCATTTAGACCTGATCCATGAATGATGGACCTAAACGTGGGGCCTCATTAAGCCCGAAATCCTCTCATCTCAGTTTTGAATGACATTAAGACCCAAATATGAGGACATGGGGGGGGACAATAAACTGCCTGAGTGAAGACGTATTGTAGTAGACATGTAGTACTGCAAGGGCAGCAGCACTGTACAGCTACCACCTCCCAGTCAGTTACACTGAGTCAGCAATATTCTTGTCTACGTGGTATTTCATTTTTCTTTGTTCACTGGTAAATTTGCAAGTTTCAAGGTAATAATAGATGAGAGACTCTCGTAAGTCCACCTTAAACAAGCTGTAACACAGAACTGTGAAAATGTTAATGCTGGTTGTGGACACCAACAATCACTGTAATGAGCAGCTTTATTACAGATTACATGTGAATGAAACAATCAATCACTATCTACATTTTCTGTCTCCTTACAGATCCACATGTGCATCCTCTGAAGCGTAGCAGCAGCTTTCAATTCCTGCCTCCCAACAGTAAGTTAAACTGAACTGAGTCAGAAATATTAACATCTGGAATTACAAAGTTTTGTAGGTGGTGGGTACAAACTCACATTTTATTTTATATTTATAAAGTCCACCTTAAAGAAACTGTGCCTTCCTCACTGGATCCAGTTTTACTGTGTTCAACATGGATCCAGTCGACACTTACTGTGTTTTCTTATTCACTGTTTTCTTTTCAGTGTCTGAGCTGAGGGTTGTTCTGCTGGGGAACAGCTGGTCTGAGAGGAGTTCAGTGGGGAACTTCATACTGGGAGAGACTAAGTTCAACACTGAGGAAGAACCAGACTCCTTCCTGAGAGAAAGAGTGCAGTTGAAGGGGAAAGAAGTCATTGTCATCAACACTCCAGACCTGCTGCATCCCCAGACCATCCGACGGAGCAGACAGTCAGAATTAATCTCTGGTCCTGGACCTCATGTGTTCCTGCTGGTTCTACAGCCTGAAGACTTCACTGAGGAACACAAACTGAAGCTCTGCAGATTCCTTCAGCTCTTCAATGGTCGATCATTTCATCATTCTCTGGTTCTGATATCAACACCCAGAGAGGAGAGTCCAGGTTTCATGGAGAAATACCTGGAACATCCCCCCTTAAAAGACATGATCAAAGAGTGTCAGTACAGGTTTTTGTGTCAGAAGAATCTTGAACTTCCAGAACTGTTAACACGCTTGGGTCAAATTGTAAAAGAGAACAATGGAGAGCATCTGAGCAACATCGATGAACTACTGGAGTCTACCAGTAAGTGTGAATTTCCCTTCGGGGATGAATAAAGTATCTATCTATCTATCTATTAGGGCTCGGTATTGTTAAGAACCTCACGATTCGATTCGATTCGATTTTGATTCTTTAGGTCACAATTCGATTCGATATTGATTTAAATGCTTTGATATCGATCCAGTAATAATTAAATTATAGCTTCGGGACGGAGACTTCCGTCATATGTTTGCGTGTTGGTATGACGTATCGTGGTTCGAGTGTGTATACCATCTTCTTAAAAACCCTGTTTTCCACCACACTGTGCGGTCGTAGGTCCTTACATATGAAGACAGCCACAGACTCCGTTATCTTCTGTGCGCTGGCAGAGTTTGGTGGCAGTTTGCAAAGGAAGGATCTGTCAAGTTGTGTCTGTTTTCAATCCACAGGTTCAGCCACGGGTTGCTGCAGAGCATCTGCATGGTGTCAGCTTAAGTGGTTGCGCAAATTTGTTTTGTTTTTTGCAGTATTTTAGTTCTGCCTGGCACAGCTCACACACTACCTTACTTTTGTCTATTTCCTGTGTTCCGGGATTACACTGGAATCCAAAATGACTCCAAACGTCTGCTTTTAAAGTTGAAGGCGCTGGTTTAACACTGCTGCTACCTGCTTCGGTTGTTGTTGTGTGGTCGAGTGTGCATGTTGCTCACCGTGCCCCCACTGGCCAGGGGCTTGAATCGATTCAGAGGATTTAATGAATCAATATTGAATTGGGAAAAAATATATTGCAATGCATTGATGAATCAATATTTTTACCCACCCCTACTATCTATCTATCTATCTATCTATCTATCTATCTATCTATCTATCTATCTATCTATCTATCTATCTATCCATCCATCCATCCATCTATCCATCTATCTATCTATCTATCTATCTATCTATCTATCTATCTATCTATCTATCTATCTATCTATCTATCTATCCATCCATCCATCCATCCATCTATCTATCTATCTATCTATCTATCTATCTATCTATCTATCTATCTATCATTAAGGCTGTGAAAATGTGAATGATGATTGTGGACACCAACAATCACTGTAATGAGCAGCTTTATTACAGATTACGTGTGAATGAAACAATCAATCAATATCTACATTTTCTGTCTCCTTATAGGGACGATGGAACGGGAAGAATTCGGTAAGTTAAAGTGAAGTCAGAAATATTCTCGTCTATATGAACATCTGGAATTACAGAGTTTTGTAGGTGGTGGGTAAAAACTCACATTTTATTACATTTTATTTTCAAACTCACTGCTGAATTTACAAGTTTCATGTCAATAATGGATGACAGAATCTCTAAAGTCCACCTTAAATAAACTGTGAATGTTTTATTGATTTCCACTCAGAGATTATACTTGTGCTCTTTGTCTGTCTCTCTGTCTCTCTGTCTGTCTGTCTCTCTCTGTCTGTCTGTCTGTCTGTCTCTCTCTCTCCCTCTCTCTCTCTCTCTCTCTCTCTGTCTCTCTCTGTCTCTGTCTCTCTCTCTCTCCCTCTCTCTCTCTCTCTGAGAGACACGCCTTCGACGTATAGTCACGAATAGAACAACGTTTCATCTACAGTTTGTTTTGCATGTACTGACCAATTTTGAAATTGATCCGATATATTCCCTAGGAGGAGTTCAAATAAAACACGAAAAATTCCCTCTCTATTTCTTTCTCTCTCTTTCTCTCTGTCTCTGTCTCTCTCTTTTTAATCATATTTTGGAGGATAAACAGAAACAGAGAACATATCTGAACCAAAACATGTGTCCTTTGTGCACAGAGAGGTGTGTCTGTCCTCTTTTCTCTCTCTCTCTCTCTCTCTCTCTCTCTCTCTCTCTCTCTCTCTCTCTCTCTTGATCCTGTAATATAGTTACTGTGGATATTAAAGTAACTCCTGGTCTTTATATTTCACAGGTGATGAAGAACGGAGTCCAGAGTGTCTCAGGATTGTGCTGATAGGGAAGACTGGCTGTGGAAAGAGCTCTTCAGGAAACACCATTCTAGGAAGAAAAGGGTTTAAAGCCAAATCAAGCCAAACATCAGTCACTAAACACTGTCAGAAAGAACAGAGTGAAGTTGATGGTCGTCAGGTGGTTGTGGTCGACACTCCTGGTCTGTTTGACTATAGTTTGTCTCATGAAGAAGTTCATGAGGAGATGGTGAAATACATCAGTCTTCTGGCTCCAGGACCACATGTCTTTCTGTTGGTGGTACAAATTGGCAGATTTACACCAGAGGAGAAGGAGACATTAAAACTTATCAAGGAAGGATTTGGGAAGAATTCTGAGAAGTTTACCATCATTCTTTTAACTGGAGGAGATTCACTGGAAGATGAGGAGCTGTCGATCGATGAGTACATTGAAAAAGAGTGTGATGATTCCTTTAAGAAGCTGATCTCTGACTGTGGAGGAAGATACCATGTGTTTAATAACCGAGATAAACACAACCGCACACAGGTCAGTGAGCTGATAACCAAGATTGACACCATGGTGAAGGAAAATGGAGGCAGCTGCTACACTAATGAGCTGCTGCAAGAGGCTGAAGCTTCAATAAAGAAAGAAATGGAGAGAATCCTGAAGGAGAAGGAAGAAGAGATGAAGAGAGAGAGGGAGGAGCTTCAAAGAAAACATGAGGAAGAAATGGAAGAAATCAAAAGACGAATGGAAGAACAGAGATCAGAAACTGAAAAAGAGAGAAAACTGAAAGAAAAACAACTTGAAGAAAAGGAGGAAAACATCAGAAAGGAACGTGAGGAGAGAAAGAAAGAACAGGAAATGAGAGAAGAAGAAGATAGGAAGAGAAAACAACAGGAAGAAATTCAACGACAGGAGTGGAAACAGAAAGTTGAAGCTTTGGAGGAAAAAATTAAATCAGAGTCAGAATCAAAGAAAACCATTGATAGAAAGCTGGAGGAGAGCAGAGAAGAGCTGAGAAAAGAACGAGAGAACTGGGAGAAACAACAAAAAGAATGGTGGGAAAAACGAAATCAAGAAAATGAACAGATACGACAGGAGGCACAAAGAAGAATGAAAAAGCTTCAAGATGAATACGAACAGGAAATAGAAAATGATAGAAAGAAAAGAAAAGAGGAGGATCGAATCAGAAGAGAACAAGAGGAAAAAGAGAAAAAAGAGATTGAGGAGAACTATAAGAAAAAGCTGGAGAATCTGAAGAAGACATATGAAGAAGAAGCCATAAAGAAAGCTGAAGAGTTTAAAGACAAACAGAGAAGAGAGAAACTCATGAAGCCAAAGCAGGAGGAATATGACAGATTACTGGATCTCTCAACCTCCAAAGACCATATTCTGAATCTCGTTCTGGATGAACTGCAGAACAAACAGAAGGAAGAAATGGCCGACTTGATTCTCCTACTTGTGACTCAAAAAAGAAAGCATGACAAAAGAATGAATGATTTAGAGGAAACACACAAAGAGGAGCTGGATAAACTTAAAAAAGATCTTTCAGCCCAAAATAAAAGAAAAGAGAAGGAACAAATGGATAAATTAAAGAAAGAACAGGACCAAGAAATTAAAGATTTGGAGAAGGAAATTCTGACCCAAAACCAAGAAGATCAGAGCGTAAAAAGAGCCGAACTGTCTAAAAGAAACAAACAAAACAAGAATGAGATGAAACAAAAACTTCAAACCCAGCACAAAAGTCGAAATGAACGAATTTATCATTTACTGGAACAACACGAAGAAAACATGAACAAATTAAAACGGAAAGTTTTTGAAGAAATGGATGAATTACAGAAAAAACATGACGTAGAGATGACTGAGTTAAAACAGCTACTGACAACAAAAGACAGCAACAGTCTGAAGGAAGAAATAAAACTGTCCAAAAAACACAAAAAGAAATGAATGACCTGAAAGACAGACTTTTATCTCCAGAGGACACTGAGGCCATTTGGTCTTTGTCTCCATTTTGTTCAGTTTCATGAGATATCGCTGATCTCAGTGTCCCAACAGCAGCCCGGTTTGTTCTGCAGTCCCGTTTGTAAAGACCCAGTTTTCTTATCTTTATTTATTTATATTTACAAAAAGTACTACTTTTTGTGTGATTTTTGTGTGATTTGTATATTTTTGTGTGATTGTATATTTTATGCACCACTGCACCAAGACGAATTCCTCATATGTGTAAAGACCTACCTACCAATAAATCTGATTCTGATTCTGATTCTGATTATCTCACTCAACAAACAGTTCTGTGTTACTGTCTGACCACAGACCTGTTACTGTTAGTTACAGACGCTGTGTATGTACTGACTGAGATGTTGAGATGTTCATTGTATTGTACATACGTTTTTTTTTTTATACCCACTGACTGATGATTAAAGATTTTGGATTGAACTCTCTGAGCTCTTCTCTTTCATCTGTCCATAGAGGTCTTATCAGCCAGCAGCCCAAAGAGTTTCACTGTCAGCATCAACATCTTCATTGTCTGAACTGTGAAATGTGGCAGTAAATTCTCCTTATTACATAATATTTATTTATAACAGCAGCAGAATGTCATCCAGTCACATATTCATACAATAATAAACCCTCCAGTTAATGATCCACCATGTTGGAACTAATGCAGTGGAATACAACAGTCCTGCAGTAAATCCTCTGTTGATGAAGGTAATGTTCAGTTTGTGTTAGTCAGACAGCTTCCTGTCAGTGTTATATCATTATATTACTGGATTATTGTTAATATTAGTAACAGGACTATGTTAATGTTATAGCTGGTGGAGCTGGAACTCATTTTAAATGCTTTATATTCTTTTGGGTAGTTCAATCTGTGACACAGAATCATATGATAACATGTTTGTGTGCATACATAAATGGAGTACAAAGGACAATATTTCTCTGTGAAATGTAGTGAAGTAGAATGATAAAGTAGCATAAAGTGAAACTACTGAACAAAATGACAGCACTTAATTACCACTGCCCATAGCTTTATAAAAATGTCTGTGTCAGACACGCTGTGGCTGCTGGGAAACTTTTCTTGTTTCTTTTTTCATTTCTTTTATTTAATGTAAGGGACATACACAAACAGTTTGGGAATGTGAATACAAATATCAGAGAAATCAATTTACAATGGTGGAAATGAAACTTTAGCCCATTTGAATAGCAACAGACAAAACAGAGATAAAGAAAAATAAAAGTAAGAGACAATAAAACAGCAAGTACTTGGATATAGATGGAAACATTCTTTCTGCCTTTTTTATTCATATTTATTTTACAAAGTAACTAAAGTACATTTACTCAAGTACTGTACTTTTTAGAGGTATTTTTATTTTCTGCTACTTTTCAGACACAAATATTGTTAACATTAATAATATGTGTATAAAGAGTAGTGAATCTGTCATACATGGTTATTATTAAGTGTTATTTAATTACTGGTGAGTTTGATCGTGTGGAAAGAAAGTGTTGTTTAAAAGTAGAACTTAAATCAGATATGTGATGGCAGTAAACAATGCAATTATTAGGATTATTAATGTCCAGATTAAGTGTCTTTGCCCCAATACTTTAATATTGATATTCAATCAACTAATACTAAGATTGATCTCTTACTTATATCTACTCAATCTGACACACCTTATTTAGAATCAGAATCAGTTTTATTGCCAAGTCTTCTCATAAGAGCAGTTTGCTTTGGTACATTGGTGCAAAAGAATCACAGTCAAACACAGAAAGATATCAATAAAGATAAAAAGATGAAAAATAGAGACAATAAAAGGAGCTGGTCCTGGTTCAAACATATTCAGCTTATATTCAGTTATAGTTGAAGAAGGTGAGATCAGCTGATAGTTTATTTGAGAAGAGGTCTCACTCTGTTGGAGTTGTTGAACTGCAGAATCACTCTGGTTGTACAGCGGTGTCACAGAGTGGAGCTTCTTCCCTCACAGATGATCTTTGTTTGAGTTCAGACACACAAACCTACAACAGACAAGTTTACTGTGGTTGTGTCAGTTTCTCATAGGTTGAACATGAATTATTAACAGCTCATATGAGACTGCTGGAAACTGTCCAACATGTCTGCAGCTTTCTGTCTCCACCACGTTGTTGCTTATTCTATAATCACTAACCAAGCGCTACCTTACAATCTGGCAGTCTATTTAAACTGCACAATTTCCCCTCTGCTCTGTCAATGCTGCTGCTGCTCTGTAAGCCCCACCACCACCCCAGCATCCACCTGTAGGCTCCGACTGGGGGTTAAGGTATTTGCGCATCACTCCCCGTAGATATGTTTACATAGATATATTGGGGAGTGATGCGCAAATACCTTAACCTCCAGTCGGATATCTAAATATGCTATACTGCTTAATAAATGTATAAACTGTAAACACTGACAACAAGATGGTTCAATCATGGTTGTGAGCTGTGTGATGAACATTTGTGATCATATCTTTTTAATGTATTTAATTCAATTCAATTCAATCCAATTTTATTTGTATAGCGCCAATTCATAACAGAAGTTATCTCAGGACACTTTTCAAATAGAGCAGGTCTAGACCGAACTCTTTAACATTAATTACAGAGACCCAACAGTACCACCATGAGCAAGCACTTGGAGACAAGGGCAAGGAAACACTGCCTGTTAAAAGGCAGAAACCTAGGACAGATCCTCCGGCTCTAGGTGGGTGGTCGTCTGTCTCGACCAGTTGGGGTGAGAGAGAGAGAGAGAGAGAGAGAAAGAGAGAGAGAGAGAGAGCGACAGACAGACAGACAGACAGGTGCATAGCAACAACAGTATTGGCAACGACAATTTAGCAGGACCATGGCAGGAGGCTCCACCAGGATCGATAAGAACCTGCGAGACGAGAAAGCACAAGAACTCCGGGGAAGAAGTGAAGTTAGTAACATGCATTAATGGAACATGAATGAGTGCAGAAAGAGAGAGGAAGAGAGGAGCTCAGTGCACCATGGGAAATCCCCGATAGTCTAGGCCTATAGCAGCATAACTAAGGGATGGTTCAGGACTCACCTGATCCAGCCCTAACTATAAGCTTTATCAAAGAGGAATGTCTTAAGCCTACTCTTGAATGTGGAGAGGGTGTCTGCCTCCAGAACCACAACTGGAAGCTGGTTCCACAGGAGAGGAGCTTGGTAACTGAAGGCTCTGGCTCCTGTTCTACTTTTAGAGACTATAGGAACCACAAGTAGCCCAGCATTCAGAGAACGTAGTGTTCTAGAGGGGTAATAGGGTACTATGAGCTCTTTAATATGTGTTTTTAATATCAATAACAAATAGACTCAAAGAATCAATAATAACATATCTGCCATCCACTAAAGAGTCCCAGGAAGAAACAACTTGATACTGAAGAAGGGTTTAATACAGAAAGACATACAGGATGACAAGATAAACAGATACATTAGAGCTCAGAGGTGTTTCAGTTGTTGCCCAATTTATCTTCCTGTCTCTAAACCCCCGATTTAAAAGAAAAACTCTTTATTTTTTGGGTCTGAGAGGGGTGATTTTGTAAATTGTCAGATTTTATGAGTAGAATCTGGTTTCTATGTGATTTCCTCACAAAGCCAGAAACATAATGGAGAGTTTTCTGTCTGATTTATTGTTAAAGAATACAACAGCTGACATGAAGGAACATAAATGCACCTACAGCAGGCGGTATAAATAATGTGTGTTATTAATGTGCATCAGACTGTAATATACAGCATACTGTCAATGTTCAGACTACAACAGGCCCTCCTCCATACACTGCTCATAGGCTGACACCTGCTGGTGACTTTATGGAACTGCAGCTGACAGTTGGAGTGAAAATAAAGCACATTTTTATCACTTGAATATAAAAGTATGTTGACTGCAGAGTTGCAGTTTGCTGTAATATGATAGTAAAGACTCACAGTACAATACAGAACATATATATGATACAGTACATATCATAAGAATATAATAGAAAATATAAAGACTATAATTAAAAATATATACACTATATGCAGTATGCAAGTAAAAGATGTGGTGTGCAAAAATATTTTAAACATCGGCCATAGCATCACACACATCACAAGTGTTTCCCAGGTAAGCAACGCCCAGCCATCCACAAGATGTAAAAGAAAGCGTGATTCACTATCTTCCAGTGCTCTGTTGTCCAGTGATGCTCCCGTGCCCATTGTAGGCACTGTCAGCAGTGGACAGGGGTCAGCATGGGCACCCTGACTGGTCTGCAGCTACGCAGCCCCATACACAACAAACTGCTCTGTACTGTGTTCTGACACCTTTCTATCAGAACCAGCATTAACTGTTTCAGCAATTTGAACTACAGTAGCTCGTCTGTTGGATCGGACCACATCAAAAAATGCTGCATCAAAAAGTACCAAACACTGACTGTTTGTCAGGATGTGCTAGTGAGTAGATGAATTTAAGAAATGAGAATGGAGCAGTGTCAAGCATCTGCACTCATGAAAAGGTCATTTCAGACTCTGACAACTGAAATATGTCAAGAACATGACTTCTGTTCTATCACATCTGTAAAGATTTTGTAAAGGTTTAGACACTGTATTGGAGATGAAGGGTCAAGTGCAGCTTTTTAAATTATTTTAAATATTGACCATCATAAATGTATTATTGCATAATGTATAACTGGATACTTTATCAGTCCACCTGGTTGATTCAATATTTGTTAGTTTTATATGAACAATAGCAGCCCCAAAATCAGAGTTTAAGAATGATAACATACATAACTTTGTATATTATTTTATTGAGGCTCTGATGGAGATGTGTGCACCGATTTAGTGTCCCATAAGTCTACATGACAACATTTTGATCCATCTTCCTTCAATCTGCCTTAAATTTGTACATAAATATTAGAGTAATTACCACACTCAAATAACTGATATGCCAGCATATATTAAAAATATACAGAACATATGAATGTCAGTAGACATCAGGGAGTTGGGTTTCAAAAGTTGTGTTAAATTACTGGCACATAGGCTGAATTGTTTCTTTAAAGATTGCTCTGTTTCTAGATGAGTGTTACAGAGAGTGTGATTCACATTTACAGTTTCTTATTTTTCTTCTCATACTGAAACATGCAAACATGTTCTGAGCCAATTGTTTTTTTCTTGGACTGATGACGCAGCACAAAATCCAGCAGGTGATTAACCCCTTAACTGCTAAAATTAAACTCAAACGGTTCATGAATTATATTCTAATGTTCATTAGCCCACACAGCCCACGACTCTAAAGTGAAATCAGTAATTGGAAACAGACCTCTGTTGATGCTCAGGTGAGTGTCTACTGTACAGATCAGATTTGGACTGAGAGCTTTTCATTATCACTGTAGATTCACCACTGGCCTGTAGATGAACACAATAACAATCATACAGATATTTTAAATATTACAACT